TCCAAAGGCATCTATATAAGGAGGCAATCCAAGACCTCCTCCACCTACTTCTTGGCTATTTGCCTCGAGAATACTGTAATGAAAGCTAGCCAGACAACTATGTTATCTGTGAAGGCAATTCAAATCTCTGCATTCTCAACAAATTTTCAAGTCATAAAACTTTTAAAGGGATACTATTAATGAAGAACACTAAGAAGCACCTTTCTGATCTTGGCATAAACCACACTGCAAAAAAGAATGACCAAGAAGGACCACAGTACCAACTATCATTTGATTTACTTCCAAATTCACATAGCAATGCCAAACAAGGACAGAAAAAAGAGACAGATTAAAGCATCAATTCTCACTGCCCTTGCAAAGGAGGAGAAGTATGCCATAAGCCAGTTCAGAAACAAGCAAAACTAATTTATGGTGATAGAGGTCAGAATAGTGGTTACTTCTGCAAGGGGGAATCAATAGGAAGGGCACAAGACACCTTTTTCAGTCCAGAAAATGTTTTGTATTTTGATCTGGATAAAAGTTACCTGGGTGTATTTACATGTAAAACTTCATCAAGTTTCATAAGATTTGTATACTTCACTGTATATAAATTATACCTAAATAAAATGTTTAAAAACAAGTCATCAATAATGGCCAAATCTAAAAAACTTTTCTCAATTTTCATATTTTTTTACCAATCTCCATCATATTGCTAATCACACAACATCAATATTCCCTAAATGGAACTCTTTCACCTTTGAAGACCCATAAGGCTTTGTTAGTGTATTTTTGCCAGCATTTTTTTTGTATTCTGTATCATATTCATTCTCCCGTAAATTCAATATTCATCAAGTACTCATGTACAAGACATGAATTAGGCATCCTCCAATATATAATCTCTCTCTCTCTCTCATACTCCACCCCCGCCAATCAAATTCCCTAAACTGGATTCCAGCCACTCTATTATTAACTGTATCTCCTACTGTAATTCCCATCATTTCTTTACAGAAATATCCTTCTCAAGCATTCTCTTTGCTCAGCCATCCTTTAAGATTCAGTTCAATTTCTACTTTATTCTTTCTCTATACCCCTACAGAACTTACTATCCATACCTGTAACTATCCTATACAGTAGCCATATGCAACTACAGAGTATCTTAAGTCTAGCTAGTCTGAATTAAGATATGATTTAAGTATGTAATACTACCAGATTTTGAAGACTCTGGTATGGAAAAAAATAAAGTAAAATATTTCAATCATGTTCATATGTTAGAATAATTTTTAGATATACTGGGTTAAATAAAATACATTAATAAAATTTTACCTATTTAGTTTTTCGATGTGGCTACAGAAAATTTAAAATTACATTTGTGGCTCAACTTATATTTCTATTGGGCAATGCTGACCTATACAATCTATTTAGAAATGCCACACAAATGACCTTTTTCTTTATTTTTTATTGATAAATAAAAACTTTATACATATATGGTGTAAAACATGTTTTAAATATGTATACATTGTGAAATGGCTAAATCAAGCTAGTTAGCATATGTATTACCTTACATACTTATCATTTTTTTGTACTGTGAACACTTAAAATATACATTCTTAATACTTTTCAAGTATAAAATATTAACTATAGTCACTATGTCCCACAAATTCTCTTTATAAATGTCATCATCTTCCCAATGAGAGTGTAAGAATTCAATATTAAGTGATTTTCTTTTATAAATTAAATATTATATTAGGAATTACTAATAGTAACTAGGATTTAAGTGCCACTTAATTTCCATATCATTTTAAGATTTTTAATAAGGAAGCTTATGGCATTTCAAAGTGTAATATGGGAAAAGTTATTTTCAGATGGTCATAAACTGAATGTGATCTACATTTTACTTATATTCAATTTTGTGTTAAATGTCCCACCAGAAAGGATAGATGGCATCCTCATCCCATAAGCAGCAATCCTCATCCCATAAGCTGTTATCCTCAACCTTTTGGGCACCAGGGACTGTTTTCATGGAAGACAATTTTCATGGGAGAGGAGGGGCAGTTTCAGGATGATTCAAACACATTACATTTCTGGTGCAGTCAAACCTCTCTGCTAATGATAATCTGTATTTGTAGCTGCTCCCTAACACTAGCACTACCACCTCAGATCATCAGGCATTAGATTCTCATAAGGAGCATGCAACCTGGATCCCTTGCATGTGCAGTTTACATTCTGGAGTTAGTGCTCCTATGAGAAGCTAATCCCACTGCTGATTTGATAGGAGGCAGAGCTGAGGTGATGATGGGAGCAATACGGAGCGGCTGTAAATACAGATGAAGCTTCATTCACTGGCCCGCTGCTCACTTCCTACTGTGCCTGGTTCTTAAAAGGCCACAGACTGGTACTGATCTGCACCCAGGGTTTGGGGACTGCAGCCACAGAGTATTAGTTCTGATTAAGCTTGATTTTTTTCACCTCAGTCACTCAGTAAAGAAAAAGGCAGCTTCCATTCTGGCCAATATCACTGTACCAATGTCCAGCAGACAAGACAAAGAACCTTTATATGGTGGTATGAATAGACAATGTGGGTAATAAGATACCACTTGAAATAAGGGTAGGCAGAAAAATGCTTTTATAATGTTCACTTTTAAAACCAGGAGATAAAACTTATAAAATGTGTAACAACTAGCTAAAAGGAAAGACATACAGGAAGGACAGGAAGGCAGAATAGAAAGGTCTCATCTTTAGACTGTTCTCAAGATATGCTGAGGTTTAAACCTCCATTATTTACTATCTATATAATCTATATGACCTGAATCTGTTTGTTTCCTCACATGTAAAATGGGAATATATACATCACAGGATTATTAAAAGGGGCATACAGATGCTTAATTAATGTCAGTGTCATCTTCCTTTCCTTTAATACCAATGATTATATGATGATAAGATTATAGTAACTTTCCTCCCATCCATTTTTCAAACTGCTGAAAATATTTTTCAAGCATAAATGAAAAACTTCTAATTTTCACACTAGCACCCCTCCTTATGTGAACTTAAAAGTATTTTTACTAGCTGTCTTTTACAATTTTGTCTAAACATTTAAAATTTGTGTTTGTGGTGGAAGGAAGTAGGTGGTAAAAAGAAAATTAAAGAAAGAAATGATAACTTTAACACTATACCAGCACAGACATATACAAAATAAGCTATAAGAGAGAAACAGCAAAAGGAAATGCTGTTTGGGGAAATTCCCTGCACTTATTCAAGGAAAAGATCACATTCTCCCCCTCAATCTTGCTACTATGATAGCCACTTCTCACTCTCATCTAGGATTTGTATGTACATTACATATAAATACATATAGCCACTTACCCTCTTCTCTCTACTAATGGTCAACATCGCCCTCACAGTCAAAAATTTAAAGGAAAGTGAAGAAATTCAGGGAATTGTAACAAAGACAAACCAACGCAATGGTTGGGAAATAACTTCACCAAAATGTACTCATTCCCAAGTGCATCTACTCATCAGCTGACAGTCCTAACAGGGAATGCATTCTGAAATATTTAACCTGGTTATAAGGTTTTGCTGCTAAAATCAGAGAAGGTATATTTTGATAACTGCCTCTTACTTCCTTTATAACAACCTTGTTTTTATAAACATGGCCTAAAAATGGACATTAACAAAAGTATGCAACTCCAAATCACTCACAGGTGGAAATTTCAAGTTATCATTGAAAGAATTAAACAATGGTAAGAAGTATTCTTATTCTAACAGATAACACTTACCCAGCATTCACTGTATGCCAGAAAGCTATAAACTTTACATGAATTATGTAATGTAAACCCTAAACCTCTATAAAAATGGCAATTATTATTAAATCTACTTGCACAGTGATCACACAAATAAATTAGAACCCTACCAGTTTTACTTGAAGGCTTACACTTTTAAACCTTATCCCATCCTGCCTCTTTATATATGCATAATTACAAATGCAACCGTAATTCTATGTGTGTGTGTACATATACACATGTATGTAAAATATTCAGTAAGTCACTAGTAAGCAAAAGGCAATTATTTCCAACTTTGTCAAAACTTCTACCATTAAAACCCATTCAACAATAAATTGGGAATCAACCCCCCTCCCCAATAAACAGTGCTCTGAAAGTACTAGTTATACAGTCAAGCATCATTTAACCATGGGGATACATTCTGAAAAATAACATCATTAGGTGATATGGTAGTTGTGCAAACATCATAGAGTGTACTTACACAAACCTACATGGTATAGCTTACTATACACCTAAGGTACATGGTATAGCCTATTGCTGCTCCTAGGCTATATCATGCTTATGTACAGCATGTTATTGTACTGAATGCATAGGCAACTGTAACACAATGGTAAGTATTTGGGCATGCAAACACAGAAAAGGTACAGTAAAAATACGGTATTATAATCTCATGGGATCACCATTGTATATGCTGTCCATTGTTGACCTAATTATGTAGTGGATGACTATATTTAACATCTTCATCATGAAACTAATGAAAAAAATACTTACAATTAAAATGATAAACAAGAAAGAATTAAAATATTAATCTTTTTTTAGAAATTAGGTAAATAATTGATAGACTACAGATAAACATGCTCTGAAAACTGTAAAGTACTTTAATCCTATACTTTATTAGGTGTTATTTTAATTTTCAACTGTTTATTTGACTCTAGAAATGTCATATTTACATTTCTAGAGTCAGTATAAAAAGTTTTTTTAAAGCTGTAGTTTCAGTTTAAATGATCTACATACTAAAATGCTTAATATATAAAACTGTATTTATCACTCTAACCAACTTCAGTTTTTCCACAATCTAGACTAACAGAATTAAATTCCAAGGGAAAAAAATCACTTATCTAAACTTTTATTTGTAAGATTCCAGTTCTAAGAATCCCAAATGAAATGAGAAGGCTACACCTTCAGACAGAAGTAGAGCAAAGATTAATAGAGAGAGAGTAGAAAGGAAATCTCTTAAGTGCTAACCTTAATCCAGTCTCATTTTCCCCCAAGAGAAGTGCACTGCTACTGCTTCTGCCCTGGCAGGTTCTTCCTCCTCTTCCTCTTGATATCCTCTGCTTTTTTCCTCTTGGAACGTTATCTCACGGGACTTTCTGTTTTTCTTCCTAATATTTCTCAATTGTCAAAGGATTTCTTATCTTGAATTTAAAAGAACAAAAACATACTAACTCTCCATAATCACGTAAAAGATCCTAGTTAAGTTCCAAAAGGATGGTAATTCCAGTTAACTTTGGCAGATCTGAGAAAAAATTAAAGGGTGGAGCAACTGAGACCTTAGAGGTGAGGAAAAACACTTTTTTCATGGGAACTCCATCTCCCTGAAGAAAAACTGAACTGTATTTGGTGTTCTACTACCCTCTAGGTCACATGTGATCTTTATGTTTGGTTTTATGTTTGGTCCCCAACCCCAGTGGAAAGAGGAGAAATACTTCAGCCAACCAGCAGGGTGAGCTAGTGCTAGAATCAGTTTGATTATTCTCAAGTCCCTCAAAACTAAATGGTGTAAATGGCTTGCACTATCAAAGCAGCTATTTCTCTCTAATAAATCTGCATCAAAAACACCATTTCTAGACCTACTTCAGTCAATCCTATATCTCATAATTTTGTTCAATATATATAGATTCTCCATGTACAAAACAGATTCCCTATACCAGAGGGATTAATAACCAATAAATGTAAAAACATTTAAAACTAATTTAAATATGCATCTTAAGTATTATAGCATCCATTCTTCATTCTCATATTTTGCAAGGCTATCAACTTAAAAAATGTAAATAACACTTTTTTTAAAGGACTACTAAAATTAGTGCTTTGCAAAAGTAGGGCTAGATAATTCAACAAGGCAATTTCTACATTTGCCACAAGCTGTAACTGCCTAAAGATCTAAATAAAAAGCATTCCCACAAGAATAAAATTCCCTCTTTTCCTTCCAAAATCACATCCTAAAAGTCTAAATAAGTAACCCTAAACAAGTATTAATAATAGTGTATCTGGGATGACAGAAAGATAGACTTCACCTTTCTCTAAATTGCAGATATCCCCATCACTTCTATGACTCTCCTCGAGTTTTTCTTTTCCCCTCCTGCTACCCATTATAGTCTCAATTCAACCAAACTCTCCCTCTTATAACATAAATGACAAATTAAAACTGGAAAATGTTTAAGGTGTGTAAGTGACAGACTTACTTTATAACTACAAATAACCTGAAAGTAACCCTAATTATCACAAAACTAAAGTGAATTAAATCCACTCACTTACATAGTGTTGAAAATTATCAAATAGCTTATAATTTCTTAGAAAATTCAATAATTTAAAAGCACCTTAAATGGCCCATAAAAACTTTAAAACTTTAAAACAATTTAACCTGCTGCTAAATTTGACATCCAAAGAAGTTAAAGACCACTGGTAGGATCCCACCATAAATGATTTTACTACTTATTGAATTTCCTAACAGAATATACAAATCTACTCAGCAGTAGTAGTTGTTGTTGTTAGTCTTAAAAAGTTGTTTTAAACAAAAGAAACACTCTGAGTGGCATGTTCATTTATCCAACCAAAACACTATTACAAAAAAAAAGGCACTAGCTTGTTGGTTTTCAGCATGTACCTCATTTCTTTTCTTATGTAATAACTGGCAATAATTGGCAGTTATTTCAAACTTTCCAAGAAGTTTATCAAGTACCTAGTTGTTGTTGTTTTTTAACTTTTCAATTTCTGGGTCAAAGATAGCTTTTGGAAAACCTCAAAATTTAAAAGCAACACTACTCTGAAATTATCTGAAATGTCTGCATTTGTGTATGAATTTGTTTCATTGAAAGTCACTTTAAAAACTAAGTCACCATATAACATTAAAGAAAAGTTTTTAACTGTTACAGATGTTCTCATGAATATAATATTTAATTTACAAGTATTCTCAATAACACTCCCTTGCTTTTCTTTTTTAATCATTATTAGTTGCCGATATTAACCTTATCATACTTGCAATATGAAAAACGAAAACAGCAATGGGGTAAAAGCTAAAAGACAATCTTCCCTTACACCACTAACTTAATCATCTGTTCCTCCATATATTGTAAAAGACAGGTTAAGGGTAGTTGTTCTGAGATTCCTTCCACTGTGAAACTGTACGATCCAGGAATATAGTATGCTAATGTTAATATAGCTCCTACTCATTAATACAAGATTGTTTTCTATTAGAAGAAATGCTAAAAAAGGGAAAACATAAATATGAAAACAAACAAGGAAAATGAAAGTTTTAAGTAATGTTGAAAAGTTCAAATTTCAATTCGAACACAGATCTAATTATAGTGATCTAAACGTGTTTGAATACCCCTTCAATCAAGTAATTCTGTTGTTAATGGCAAACACAAAACATTAGCTGCTTCAAAATCTTGTATTACTGAGTTAATACCAACACAAAGTATGATGTTAAGTGCAGTATCACTTTAAATTGTTAGAAATTCTAACACACCACGATTTTTAACAGCGATATACATACCACTACATTAATACTAATCAAGCCTTCATGTTTCACCTAGTAAAATGTCTAAGCTATATTATAACCTCATTACAAAAACTAGTTTTTTCATGGCAAACCTACCAAAATGCAATGTTGCTGCCATCAAGTCCCCTTGATACTTACAAATGGCACTAAAGGCAAACAGCATTTCCTTTCTTTGAGGAACTTCAGATGCCTATTTTTCGAAATGCTTTCCTTCTTGTGGGACCAAAAAGTGTAAAGCAAACTACTGCAGGGAGGGAATACATGATTAAGGCAAATCTAGTCTATCATCCAGATGAAACAGCGTGGTATTAGTCAGAACTGGCCAGAAGAGGTAAAGGTGTTTTGGTATTTCTGCTGAGACTATTAACTTGTGTACAAAACAGGAGCATCATTCAGGCTCTCAACTGTGTTTATCCCCTGTTGAGTTTAATGATCACACAAAATCTTAAGTCTAAATATTAAAGTTTCGTAACAATTATATTTAAGTCAATATTACTTAAACAGTTCAAGAAAACTTTTCCACTAACGCTGCTAAACCATAGATGGATCCCAACAAGACAGTCGTCCGTGGAAGTCTCAAGAAACCTTTAGCTCCACCACCTAAGTTTCCAATCACTGAGAAGCGTCTGGGGCAACTCATCTTCAGGTTCACAGGAGAAGTGGAGCACACCTGCTTTCCTCTGGCAGAGGTTACGCTCCCAAGAGACACAAAGGCCAGGGAATCAGACCTGAAGAGGCAAAAAGCTTTAGCTGGACACCCACCAAGCCCTTGGCAACCCAAACACTTCGAGCGATTTACCTCTTGCGGTTACTTCGCAGGCACCTAACGGCATAAGATCTTGCAGAACAGGGGGAGGGGAGGGTTATGCGGTCCTGTCCCAAGTAAGGGGAGGGGTGTGTACAGTTAACGCCAGAGCCGGCGCTTCTGGCCGAGACCGAGCAGCCTAGACGAGAGGGGTTGGTGACTGCTCTCGGACCGCCCCGTTACTCAGTGCAATGGCGACCGCCAGGCTCCCCAAGCCGCCTGATCTCGGCCCCTTCCCCCTACTGCTCAGTGGCTGCTCAGCTTCATGTGACTAAACAAAACCCCCAAGTCTAGTGCCCAGCTCAGCCCCTTTGTGTCCGCTACCGGATCCTCCGACGCCGCGGCGGAAAGCCCCCCCTCCCTAGTCCCCCCGCCGAGTCCCGCCCCGCGGCGGCGGCCGCCGCTCACCTCAGGCTCCGCGGCCCCCCGCGACCGCCGCGGCCGCCGCCTCCCCGAACCCGGGGCCCGGGCTCCTTGTGTAGCACCAACTCCGCCTCCTCGGCCGCCGCCGCCATCTTAGCCTGTGCGGCAAAATGCGTCCTTTTGGATGGTTGGGACCCAGCCTAGGGCGTAGCTCCCCGGGCCCAAGCGCCGGAGGCCGGGTCCCCCAAGTTCTAACGCCACCCTCAGTCCCGCCGCCGCCACAGCCCAGAGGCCCGAAACCCACTTGGGTACCAGCGAATCCGACCAAATTACCCCTGAAACTCACAGTTTGGTGCCGTGTGCGTCAAACCGGGGCGACGTTGGGAGCGCGCGGCGTCCCCGCGTCACACGCCGCTCTGTACGCTACTCAGCTCCAACAGCCCCCCTTCGCTCCCCGCTTTTCGCCTCCGGCCCCGGTTCCCACGGCGCAGGCGCGCTGCTTTCCCGCCTCTGCCGGACCGCCGGCCGTGGGGCGGCCAGCGAGGAGCTCCGGGGCAGCCTCAAGCTGGTGGAGCGTCTGGGCCTATTAAACAAACGGGGGCAGCAGAAACAGTGCTCCACTGTTCTCGGGTGCCAGAAACCAAACAAGGTCACCTCCCCCAGCGCTGACCTAATCACTCCCAAGGAGGTTCCCGCCCCAAAGTAGGCACGCTCCAAATATGGTGGTGCCCAAACTCTGCAAGACCCAAACACTAAACATGCCTAGGCCCTTTAAGGTGGAGCAGGCCCATGATTGATTTTCACAATCACTAGCATGCCAAAAATCCTTTATATTCCAACTGTTGAGGAAAACAGCTAAAAAATGCAATATTTACCAGTCACAACTGTGGAGTAATGGCAGAGGAAGACTTTAGGATCTTAAGGGGACCGATGATTGGGAGATGCTTGATGGCCAGGCAAAGCATCAGATGTGGCGTCTCCATTACTCGGACAGCCTACCCTAAAAGGTGTCCTGGGTTTGCTCCAATTTGATTCTGTGATCATACTTTCTCCCTGCATTACTGAATATGCCATGGTTCTACAAATTAAAGTTATATAAGAAACAATTGAGATGCTGCTTAGCCCTTCAGCAAATCAATAGGTCCCAAGAGGGTTCTGGAAATTTTTTTAATAAGCTTTCTCCATAGGATCCTGAGGGCAGAGAAACTCTGATTAGGGGCTACTCCTTTTGTTTTTGAACTGAGCACACAAGAAGCTGCTGACGTGTAAGATGAACCAAAAGTTCCTAAGGAATGTACTAGTTCTGCCTCAATAAGTTCTTTGGCTTCTCTGAACCTCTGTTTACTCATCAAAAAAATTAAAAAATAAAATAATTTTCGGTAGTTGAGCAACTATCATAAACTGTGCTCCTCCAAACCCTCCAGATGTTATTGGTATTTAGAAGAATACACCATAATTGCATTTATTTGACAAGAATGAGAAACATTCTTTTCCTATAAAATGGTGCCTTCATCATCAGCAAACGTGGATTCCAAGCAACAGATATTTGACTAAATACTTACAGTAATTGCTTCATTACCTAGTAATGATAGCAGACACTTCTGAGTGCTTACTATGTACTAGGCATTATTCCAATTCAATCAATTTCATTACAACCTAATGAGGCACAGAGAGATTGAGTAAAACCTCTCAAAGTCACACAGTTCTTTGGAATCTTTCAAAATGCAAATCTTCTTTCTTCGTTTACACAAACAAGTAAATGATAAAATATAAATGTGTATATATTTGCAGCCAATGGGGGGGGGTGCCCTTTGGATGATTTCTTTTGCAGAATCCATTAAAATTTGACATTCTCAGTTTATGATTGCACTTAGAACAAATAAAAATATTGTGCATTATGGAAAGTCTCACATTATATGTATCACTACAAAAGAAGTTACCAACAAATAACTGTTGTGAATGTACACTACTGACTGATGTGCAGACACATCATACCCCAAGCAGATAGAATCACTTAGAATTCAGCCTCAGTGATGGAGAACTTGTCTCACCAATGAAGCTGTTTTGTGCACTAGAACTTGGCAAATGAACTGTAATACTGTAGAATTAGTAATAATAGCAATTATAATAGTAGAAGTAGTAATAGTTGATGAAACTCTTTATAAACGAAATAGATCTCAAAAGCTGTCCATGAGTGGAAGAAAATAGTAAGTAAGCTTGAAAAAGGCAATGCAAAAAGATAAAAAAAGAATGCAGGCAACTGGGAAAATCCAAGGCCCGGTTATGTGACTCAATGTCAAAATATTCAAAGACATTAAAAGGAAATTGCAGTTGAGAATAAAAATCAAGATGCAGAAAACAGTTTGACCCTGGGGGAAAATTCACAAAGCACATCTACTCACTGTGAATAAAATGATGCTTTGATGAATATACCTGATGAAGAATCTTTTTAAAAGAAGAAAAGGAATGAAAACCAAGACATGGCTACTGTTAAGATGTTAAAATCTGACCATATTAGCATAGTGTTTGAATCCATTAGTTATTCCAAGTGAATAGAATTACCTAAAAAAGATATTAAGTAAACCATGGTCTTAAATAACTTACTGAAAAAAAAATGCAATTCATTGTTAAATAATAATAAAAAAACACATAATTCTCCTCATTCTGATGGTTATTAATTTCAGACAAAAAGAAAAAAAGAAACATTAGTTAACCTACTATCCTAGTAATGAAGTCAAATCAAGTTTTGGATTTTGCTTAGGATTTCACTAGTTTTGGACCCACCTTTTGGTACCAAAACTGTAAGGCAGGTCACTTTTGTGGAACTACTAGTAGTTCAGTATGTTTGTTCATTGGAATGGGGATAGGGAGTCTATTTGGAGCAGAAAGAGATGAAGAAGTAAACGGAAACCAAGTTTTATATTTGTTCTTGCCCCACACTGACCCCAACACAGAGCCTTACACATAGCAGGTATGCAATAAATAATTCCATTCAATTCAATCAACATTCAGTGATTGCTTACTCTATGCAAGACACTATGCTAGGCACTTTCAGAAACAAGATGAATAAGACAGTTCCTTGCAGATATTCGATAGTGTTGAATGAATGAGGAGCCTTTGTAGTTCAATGAACAAACTAGACAAAAATATACACTCAACTGTCAATTTACCAGGGAATGGGGAAGTTGAGCAAATAGATAATAAAGATCTCAAAATCAAAGTTAAAACAAAACCACATAAAACAAAATGTGTATTAAGTATATACATATTTAGTAAAAATTATTTCTAATATCTAGGAACACATTTACTATTCTACTCATCAGCATATCATTGTGCTGGGCCCCTTGGAGGATGCAAAGGTAAACAGAACACACTTAGCTCTCAAATATCTCATAGTGGAATAGATCAAAAGCCACATGTGCCATTTGCATGTTAAAGTTGACAAAGAAAAGTCAGCTTATTGCTCAACTAGTGCCTCACCTAGTGATGATAAGACTCTGGAGTCATTTTCCTCCAGGGTTTGGCTCTTAGCTTCACAGGTTGAGAATCAGTTGAACTAGAGTTGTTCAAGTTCAGATAAATGAAATGTATAGGAGACTAATGGATAAATCACATGCAAACATATTAATTTACAGTAAATCTCACTGCCAAGCATAATGGAATACTCAGGCAGATTGGTCAACACATTCCCTCCCCATAGAGAAGGGTGTAGGAACACCAAATTACTTGCTTGATGAGCATAGAATTAGATGAATATGATCTCAACAGATGGTGTCATGAAACTTTGATAGCAAACTGTACTCTGCCATGAAGATACACCTGTCAAGGGAACTTGAACTGTTAGTCTGTTCTCATCAGGATAATAAATAACTTATTTTCCTTAAAGATATATAACAACATACCACAAAAAGAGATGTATTTGTAATTGATATTTCATCAATTCTATGGCACTTTTAAAAAATGTTGTAACATCTCTGAAATCAAGTAAGTGTCTTACAAATCATAGTTTGTAATTGATGGTCTTTTCTTTCATAGGGGTTTATGAAATAATGACACACCTTTTAGTGATATTTTATAATCAATGGAATACAATAACTACCTGACATTTTTTAAAACTCTCCCAAACCTGTTTTGGTAAATTGACTTTCAGAAACATTAGTAGTGGCTGGGCGCGGTGGCTCACGCCTGTAATCCTAGCACTCTGGGAGGCTGAGGCAGGCGGATTGCTCCAGGTCAGGAGTTTGAAACCAGCCTGAGCAAGACCCTGTCTCTACTAAAAATAGAAAGAAATTAATTGATCAACTAATATAGACATAGAAAAAATTAGCTAGGCATGGTGGTGCATGCCTGTAG